CAAAATAGACAAATGGGATCTAATTAAACTTAAGAGTTTTTGCACAGCAAAAGAAATAATCATTAGAGTGAACCAACAACCAACAGAATGGGAGAAACTTTTTGCAATCTACCCATCTGAAAAAGTACCAATAACTAGAATCTACGAAGAACTAAAGCAGATTTACAAGAAAAAAACAAAAGTGGGCAAAGGATATGAACAGAAACTTTTGAAAAGAAGACATTTATGAGGCCAGCAAACATATGAAAAAATGCTCATCATCACTGGTCATTAGAGAAATGCAAATCAAAACCACATTGGGATACCATCTCATGCCAGTTAGAATGGTGATCATTAAAAAATCTGGAAACAACAGATGCTGAAGAGGATGTGGATCACCTGTTGGTGGGAGTGTAAATTAATTCAACCATTGTGGAAGACAGTGTGGCAATTCCTCAAGGATCTAGAAATAGAAATACCATTTGACCCAGCAATCCCATTACTGAGTATATATCCAGAGGATTACAAATCATTCTATTATAAAGACACATGCACATGTATGTTCATTGTGGCACTGTTTACAATAGCAAAGACCTGGAACCAACCCAAATGCTCATCGATGATAGACTATACAAGGAAAATGTGGCACATATACACCATGGAACACTATGCAGTCATAAGAAAGGATGAGTTCATGTCCTTTATACAGACATGGATGAATTTGGAAACCATCATTCTCAGCAAACTGACACAAGAACAGAAAAACAAACACTGCATGTTCCCACTCATAGGCGACTGTTGAACAATAAGAACACATGAGCACAGGGAGGGGAGCATCACACACTGGGGTCTGTTGGGGGGTGGGAGCTAGGGGAGGGACAGCAGGGGGTGGGGAGGTTGGGAGGTTAGGTAGGGACAACACTGGGGGAAACGCCTGATGTAGGGGACTGGGGGATGGAGGCAGCAAACCACCATGGCATGTGTGTACCTATGCAACAATCCTGCAAGATCTGCACATGTATCCCAGAACTTAAAGTACAATAAAACAAAAAAGACACAAGAACACATATGTTTACTGCATCCCAATTCACAGTTGCACAGCTATAGAACCAATCTAAGTGCCCATCAACCAATGAGTGGATAAAGAAAATGTGATATATACACAGCATGGAACACTACTCAGCCATAAAAGGAATGAAATAATGTCTTTTGCAGCAACTTAGATGGAGCTGGAGGCCATTATTCTAGGTGAAGTAACTCAGGAATGAAAAACCAAACACTGTATGTTCTCACTTATAAGTAGAACCAAAGCTATAAATACACAAAGGCAAATAGAGTGATATAATGGACTTTGGAAACTCAGAACAGGGAGCGTGGAAGAAGGGTGAGGGACGAAAAACTACATATTGGTTACAATATGCACAACTCAAGCAGGGGTTGGGGGTGCACTAAAATCTCAGAATTCACCACTATGTAATTCAACCATGTAACCAAAAATCACGTGTACCCCAAAAGCTATCCAAATAAGAAAAAAAATTTTAAATGTATTAATAAGTGCATAATTCTCTAACACAAAAGAATAAAACATCTGTACACCACTAACAGAGGTGTCCTAAAAGAAACAGGCAGCTGGGAATATACAGCAGTATTTGGGTGTGTGAGAGTCAAAACATCCTCATCCACAGAAGAATACCATGAATTAGAAACAAGTTACATAACTGGTTTTATGCGACGTTCTAAGTTGTCACATATAACATGTGTTACATGATTATACATATATATCTAAAATAAATTGTCAGTATAAATTACCAGAACTGGCCCAAGAAAAAGTGAACAAAGATAAAAAGTCTAGGCCGGGCACGGTGGCTCAAGCCTGTAATCCCAGCACTTTGGGAGGCCGCAGGGGGTGGATCATGAGGTCAGAGATTGAGACCATCCTGGTCAAAATGGTGAAACCCCGTCTCTACTAAAGATACAAAAAAAAAATTAGCTGGGCATGGTGGAGCGTGTCTGTAATCCCAGCTACTCAGGAGGCTGAGGCAGGAGAATTGCCCGAACCCAGGAGGCGGAGGTTGCTGTGAGCCGAGATCGCGCCATTGCACTCCAGCCTGGGTAATAAGAACGAAACCCCGTCTCAAAAAAAGTAAAAAGTCTAATTATAAAAAAAGAAATTGTAAAAGGCTAACTACCAAAATTTTATAACAAAAATCATACTTAACAGAGAAACTGTAGACATATTTTTTTAAGACTAAGAAAAAAATAATATTAGCTATGACATACTGTACAATTCCTCCTTAAAAGAATAAAGTGAAGACAAAGAAATAAAAATTTTGCTTTGTTATTAATTTTGATTGACAAATTATAATTATATACATTTATGAGATACAATGTGATGTTTTGCCACATGAATACAATGGGGAATGATTAAACCAAACTAATTATTATATCCATCACCTTGATTACCATTATATTTTTTGGTAAGATATTTCAAATTTGTTCTAAGTTATTTTGAGACATATAATACATTATTATTGGCTATAGTCATCCTGCTGTGCAATAGATCTCAAAATCTCTTCCTCCTCTCTATCTGAAACTTTGTGCCCTTTGATCAACAACTCCCCATTCCCTCGCTGCCCCACACCCCACCCTCTGGAAACAACCATCCTACCTCCTTCTTCTATGAGATCAACTTTTTTAAATTCCACATATATTTATCTTTCTGTGCCTCCCTTATTTCACTTAGCATTATGTTCTCCAGATTCATCCATGTTGATTCAAATGATAGGATTTCCCCTTTTTAAATGTTTAATCGTACTCCATAGTGTATATACACCACACATCCTTTATTAATTCATCCCTTAATGGACACTTAGGTTGATTCTGTATCTTGGCTATTGTGAAAATACTGCAACTCCATGGGAGTACACATGGGAACAATGTGTATCTGTGAATTCCACATTGATTTCAGTTCCTTTGGATATATACCCAGACACAGGATTGCTGAATCACATGGCAGTTCAATTCTTAGTTTTTTGAGGAGCCTCCATAGCATTTTTCATAATGGCTGTACTAATTTACATTTCCACTAATGATATACAAAAGTTTCCTTTCTCCATAAATTCAAAAACATTTATCTTTCACCTTTTTGACCAAAGCTGTTCTAATAAGTTTAAGGTAATATCTCATTGTAGTTTTAGTTTGCATGTCCCTTATTATTAATGATGCTGAGCATTTTTTCACATACCTGTTGACCATCTGTATGTCCTCTTTTTAGAAATGTCTGTTCAGGTCTTTTGTCTATTTTTTAATATTATTGAGTTGTTGAAATTCCTTAAATATTTTGAATATTAACCCCTTATCAGATGTATGGTTTGCAAATATTTTCTCCCATTCTGTAGGCTGTCTTTTCACTTTATTAACTGTTTTCTTTGCTGTGAAGAAGCTTTATAGTTTGACGCTATCCCATTGTCCAATTGTGCTTTTATTGTCTGTGCTTTCTGGGTTTTTCCCGTCCTTCTGCTACCTTTGAGCTTATTTTGTTCTTCTTTTCTAGTTCCTTGAGATATAGCATAGAGTTGTTTATTGGAGATATTTTTATATTTTTAAAATGCCTGTTTTCAATAGGCATTTACTACTATAAATTTTCCTCATAGACCTGTCTGCTGTATTCCATAAGTTCCCCAGAGTCTGGGGTGTGGGGCTGAATAGTTCACCCTCTAATCACGTGGTTGGTTCTGCAGCAACCCTTCCCATCCAGAAGCTATCCCAGAAATCCCAGCCATTAGCTGTCTCTTTAGCATACAAAAAGATGTTTACCATTTCAGAGATCTCAAGGATTTTAGTAACTGCATGCCAAAAGACCAAAACATATATATTTCTTGTTATAAATCACAATATCACAGCAACAAATAAGAAGTATCATAGAAAAAAATGAGTCAGGAAGTCTTCTCAAACACACACACACATACACAAAGAAAAACAACACTGTATCTGACTCTATCAAAATTTAAAACATGTGCACATCAGAAGACCAGAAGACATCATATAAAAAATCAAAACATAACCAATGAGCAAGAAAAAACTAATGGCTTCACTGAAAGCAAACAACAGATTGTTTTCTAAAATATTAAACAACTAATCTAAAAATTATGAAAAAGATAAATGAATAGAAAATATGAGCAAAGGTAATAAAAGAGGAAAATTCACAGAAACAATTTAAATGATTCGTAAACATACAAAATGATGTTCAACCCTCTGATTAAAAGGTAAATGAAAATTAACAGTGAGATGACACTTGGCACCCATTTGATTTGCAATACTATCTGAAATTATCAAATGTTGGTGAGATTGTGGGCAATCAGATATCCCCAAGGACTGCTAGTGGATGGTGAAAGTATAAATTAAAGAAGTCACTTCAGCTATCTTTATGAAAGTATGATAGTTGAAAATACCCAGTGAACCAAAAGTTTCAGTTCTAGATATCAATGTTTTTTGAAAAAGAAGCCTCAGGTGGGCCAAGGCTTTTGTGTATTAAACATACACAAAACACTTCATTTCCATTTTTTTCTATAACTTTAAAACTTGGAAATGTCCAACAGCAGGGGAATGGATATATAAAGTGTGTACATTTATAGAATAGAGCATTGACATAGTTTGGATAGTTGTCCTCGCGTAAATCTCATGTTGAAATGTAATCCCCAGTGTTGGAGGTGGGACCTGGTATTTGGATCATGGGGAAGGATCCTTCATGAATGGTTTGGGCCATCCCCTTGGTGATGTGAGCCCTCACTCTGAGTTCACATGAGATCTAGTTGTTTAAAAGTGTGTGGCACCCAACATACTTTATCTCACTCAACCTGCTTTCCACATCGGGTGTGCCTGTTCCCCCTTTGCCTTCTGCCATGACTGAAGGCTCCCTGAGGCTTCACCAGACGCTGAGCAGATGCCAGCAACATGCTTCCTATAAAGCTCACAGAACCATGTGCCACTTAAACTTCTTTTCTTTATAAATTACCAAAGCCCAGATAGTTCTTTATAGTAATGCAAGAACAGCCTAATACAAGCAATTAAGAGAAATAAAGTAGATTTTAATGTATAAATTTATCATCTGAAAAATGGACCATTGATTGGACAAAGCCAACAATGAAGTAAAACATACATATGAAGTATTCCATCAAAACAAGAAATACATAGGATTGCAGCAAAATCCGAAGCAGCTTCTATCAGCATTTGAGTGGGGCCTTCAAGTAAGTGTCAGATAGGTTGCTATCTACTGAGCATTATGAGTACAGCACCTGGGTACCCAACATATTTTTAGGATATGTTCTACTTTGTATAAGACAAGAACATTTTATTTTTAAAACTGCCATAGGAGAGAGTTTGAGCTCCCATCTTTTTCGCAATGTCAATATGATGCCTCTACTTCGGATCAGAGGCGATCTATTCTGAAACCACCATCTGCCCTCTTCCTACTCTTCTTGTCCCCCAGCCTGACCTGTCCCAGCTGCTTCATCTTCCCATCCTCTCCCTTAAGCACCCTATTTCACGTGAAGTAAGAAGGGAAATATTTTGTAAGAGAGTTGGTGATAAGAAAGCAATTATTTTCCTTTCACAGAGTGACATTTGTCAATTTGTAGAAGTCCTCCCCACAACCTTGAGCCAGAGTCCTCTCCCAATTTCTACCTTCTTCCTCTGCCAAAATTGCAGAGGCCACCTGAGACACTAGACATATCTCAATCATACTAAGTTCCACAAAATCCAACATTGGTTTGTCCTTTCTAGAATTTGTTTTTTATTTTTATTTGTAATAATATTGATTTATCACATGCATTTATTGTCTCCTTTTACTCAAGTAAAGAAAAAGGGCCATAATCATATTTTTACCTAAATACAAATTTAAGATGAAATGAAATGAAGAATCAGTACAACAAAGACTTCTTAGCAGAGGTAAGCTAAGGATAGGGGGCTGTGCAGAAATAAGAGAATATGTAATCACATTTTGACACAAGCTCATGAATTCAGAATCAATACACTGAAATAAAGCTGGATCATCAGTTTCCTTTGTAAACTTGAACTTAACTAAATGATTTGGATGAAATTCAATATAAAATTTTGGCTCTGAAACTACATGGTGTAAATAATATTTCATATAGCAGTAGAACATCAAACCAGGTAATTATACAAAGTGAAGAAAGTCTTTTCATGTGTTCAGAAATTCTTTGCATTCGTCTAAACATTTCCTACATTCCCACAAAGAAATTAACATTTGGAAATGGTATTAAATTATTTAATATTACTTGAAATCGGGCCGGGCGCGGTGGCTCACCCGCCCAGCACTTTGGGAGGCCGAGGCGGGTGGATCACGAGGTCAAGAGATCGAGACCATCCTGGTCAACATGGTGAAACCCCGTCTCTACTAAAATACAAAAAAAACTTAGCTGGGCATGGTAGCGCATGCCTGTAATCCCAGCTACTCAGGAGGCTGAGGCAGGAGAATTGCCTGAACCCAGAGGACAGAGGTTGCCGTGAGCCAAGATCGCACCATTGCACTCCAGCCTGGGTAACAAGAGTGAAACTCCGTCTCAAAAAAAAAAAATATATATATATATATATTACTTGAAATCGAGCCCCATTTTGTTAGCACTTGAAAATTAAATGTGTAGCTAAGATGACTTGCATTTATGTTGATATTTGTGTTATGCAGAACACATGAGTTTTGCCTAATGGCCCGATACGTCGTTCTTTGTCAATTTACTTAATCTATTTATACCTTTTCCCTGGCCAAAACCTCTCATATATATAATAACTCCTATTTACTCAACTGACTGTGGAGCTGACTTGATCATAGATTTGGCAGGCAACTGGCCCTTCTCTCCTTCCCTGAGATCACCTTATACTTCCTCCAATGAGAGTTGCAACAACTTGTTTCCTAGGAACTAGAAGTTAAAAGCATATCAGAATTACATAACTAGCCAGAAAACATTTCACCATCTAAAGTGATACTTCCAATTTATAGAACCCTCCCCCTTTAAGCCAGAGTCCTCTCCTATTTTTACCCTCTCTCCCTTCCAGAATTGCAGAGGATATTTGAGATACAAGAAAGTAGCCATGACCCACAATAAGCACTCAGATCTATATGGGGACTCTGGCTGTCAGTCTTCCAAGATCATTCTAGTTTATTACTTTTTTAGAATAGCTCTGACTTGATTAAATATATTTTATAATGCTTAAAAAAAATGTGATGGCATTTTTGGAATGTTACTGGTTAACTTGGTCACTGCCTATAATTTTATCATTGATTACAAGTTACTATAATTATGAGAAATCAGAGGACTGGATGATAAATGGAAAAGCACCGGACTAGAAATTTTGGGTTCTCACACCATTCCTCCAAGATACTTGCTCAGTTTCCTTAGTTAATTATAGTAACCTCTCTGTACCTCAGTGAACTCATCAGTAAATGGGGAGTGATGTTAACTCTCCCACCTACTACACAGTTCTCCTGAGCTTCAAATGAGAGCCTCCTAAGTAATTGAAATCTACAAAGCACTTTGAAAATTCGACAAGTTACTTTGTATACCCTTAGCAGAACTTAGCAAAAATGTTAAGCCAACAATAAAGAAAATACTTTGCTACTGAGAAGCAGTCACCAATTTCTAGTTTACCAGCCTTACAGTTTATTATTTAAATATGTTTTTATATGTGGATTGGATATGTAAAAGAAAAAGCTGTTTCTATATCAGTCATAGCTTTCCTTGGGTTAAAAGCATCACAGACCATTTAAATAACTTCACATTTATCTTTTTGTCTCCTCTTCTCCCACATACTCTGTATCCAGCCAACCATCGAGTTCTCTTGAGATGTCACTTCATCTGTCTCTTCTCCCTCACACCCACCGGTACTTTTCACATAGTCAGGTCTATTTTAGCTGTAAGTGGCTTGGGGAGAAAAAAAATAAATTATTTATGAATTTTTTAATTTCAGAAGTAACTCTAGCTTCAGGCATGTCTGGATTTAGGAGATAAAACAATATTGTCCTGACTCTGTTGTCTCCATCAAAGGGCTTTGCTTCCCCTCCTTCCTTTCACAGGTCCTACACAGGCAAAGGCAAAAAAATAAAAACGGCCATTAGCAGCTCTGACCTGAAGTCTACCAGCTGAGCAACCTCTGGAAACAGTCTCTCTTTCCCACTAACTTTCGTGGAGGTCCAGTGCTGACTCTTTGGGTCCCATGTCTTTCCTGGACTCAAGCCTGGACTAGGGTCCCATGTCTTTCCTGGACTCAAGCCCTCTGATAGAAGAGTTGGAACATACTCATGAGCCGGCCTGAGCAGAATGCCTGCCACACCAACCCACCCACCTCCCATTCATAGACCCCAGAAACTGGGTTCATCCCACCAAAAAACACACGGACTGAAAGTGGCTTACCACTTCTTAGAAATGGCTTCCAAGTAATAATAATAATATTAGGAAGAAGGAGAAATAGAAGGTGGTCAAGCAAGGCATCTGTCCATTCTACCTGTCCTTGCTTAGATTCTCATAATCTACTATCTCCCTCCAGGTTTAATAAAATTTACCTAAGAGTAAGTAGAAGAAACCACATGTATGTGCTATGCTTTGAATGGTTGTCCCCTCCAAAACTCATGTAAGAAGCTTAATCTCCAATGTGGCAGTATTGAGAAATAGGGTCTTTAAGAAGTCATTGGGTCCTAAGGGCCCCACCCTCAGGAATGTATTAATCCATTAGTGGATTAATGGGTTCTCATGGGAATGAGACTGGTGGCTTTATAAGAAGGGAGAGACTTAAGCTACCATACTCAGCCAACTCACCATGAGATGTCCTGCACACCCTCAGGACTCAGCAGAGAGTCCCCACCAGCAAGAAGGCCCTCACCAGATGTGGCCATTTGATGTTGGGTTTCTCAGTCTTCATAAGTGTAAGAAATAAATTCCTCTCCCTTATAAATTATCCAGTTTCAGGTATTCTGTTACAAGTGACAGAAAACAAAAAAAGACAGATTCTTACGAATGAACCTAAAGAGTATAAGCACCAAAAAAACTTAGTGTTAAAACTCCTGAAAATTAGGAAGGGGACACGTACTGAGAACTGGTTTTTGTGCACAGCGTAAATAAGCAACGTGAACTCAAAATCAGAAGAAAAACGAGAGTTAAATTATGTAGTCTATTAATTTAGGTTCCCAGCAAACCATAAGAAAAGACTTCAAGTGTAAGCAATTTATTTTTAGAGAATTAGGCATTAGGAGAGTACGTAAAGGAAACTGTCTAAGGATAAAAGTTATATTTTCAAGCCAGCTACCGTTGTGCACTACTAGTGCCTAATATCTTAGAGCTCTGGAAAATTGCATAAAATATATGCCTACAAATTATCCAGCTAGAGGGGTACGAAAGATGGGATTTTCATAAACCAACTCCTATCATTCATTTTTTGAGGATTGAATTGAATATGTCAAGTGGGGACAGGGCTAATTCCCTAGAACTTTCAGCCTGGAGCTTGCATGGGCAAACTGGTCTTCTGCTTAGTAGAAGGAAATCCTAGGGAAGAAGATATAAATACTGCCAGTTGGAAGTCACTGACTCCTTGGAGCATGCTGAAATGATGAGGTCCAAAGAATATGACTGAGGTACTGTCCCATAGTGAATACTGGTGAGATAATTTGGCAGGCTAATGGCAGTAATGGCCGAATTCTCAGCTTCTTCCTGTACCTATGCCCTTTGCCATGTGACTTTGCAGTTCCTCTCACTGTAGAGGAGTGTACTTCCTTGCACTTTGATTCTGAGTTTGGCCATATTGCATGCTTTGACCAAGAGGACAACAGCAAATGCAAACAGAAGCTTGAAAAAAATATTCTGACACTCTCTTAATCCTCTGACTTTGCTGTGAGATTTACCTGGGCTAACCTACTAAAGAATGAGACAAGGTAAAACAGAGTCAGGTCATCCCAATCATCCCAGATAAGTTATACTAGATCAGATAATATGCAACTCATCTCTATGCATGTGAGACCAGAAGAACCAAGTTGCTGGCCCACAGACTCATGCACTAAATAAATTTTCATTGTTTCAAGAAAACCAAGTTTTGTGTTGTTTGTTATGCAGTATTATTATGTCAATAAGTAATTCGTACCTATAAGCAATGTGCTACTTGTTAAAATGCACACTCTGAATGAAGAGACCACCCCCCACCAAACAGGCTTTGTGTGAGCAACATGGCTGTTTATTCACCTGGATGAGGGTGGGCTGAGTCTAAAAAGAGAGTCAGCAGAGGGCAGTGGGATAGGATTTGGTTTTAAAGGTTTGGGGTAGGCAGTGGCAAGGTACAGAAGTTAGTTTAGGGCAGTTTTTGCGAGCTGGGAGGGGGTTGTAGGGTTTGGACTCAGGAGCTTGACCAAGGTCTGTTACAAAGTCCAATTGCCTTATCAACGAGGCAGGAAAAAAGAACAATAGAGAATGTCTCAAGTTAATTAGGCACCATAGGGGCTGATTATTCTTCCTCTTTTCATGGTTTTCCAGTTACTCAGATTTTCTAATTCTGGGAGGCCATCCAGAGGTGTACGTGCAGGTCAGAGGATTTGCCGTGGCATCCATGGTGCCGTCACTCAGCCTAAAAGACGTTACACTACTGTAGCATAAACCAGACATACGTGGAATTAGCTTTGGATATGGTAGGTAGCAAACAAGCTGGAAAAGTGGCAATGATACTACTAAAAAAGCCTGGAAAATGAGGCAACTGTTAGAACAAAGTGAAAAATGAACACCCATGTTATATCAGCACGAGACATTGTTAGAACTGGTCACTTAAGATAACTTGAAGATACAAAATGCACCTTATGAATTTTTAGACTTGATCTGGCAGAATGTTGAAAATATCAGTTGACTCTTATTAGTTGCATATAAAGTACAACAAGAAAGAAACAAAGGTCAAAAAAACACACACACAGTTCACAAGGAGAAACTGGGGAACTGAGACTCTGTAATTTGTTAGAATGGAAACTAAAGTTGTTTCTCATCTTTGCTCTCTCATGTCAGAAGAATTTTCTCATTAAAACTTGGCCTCAAGGTAAAGATAAAAATCAAGGGTGTGGCCATGAAACTTTGAAAGAATTAAGCCAGTGCCTAGCAGATGCTCTCAGCTGGAAAGAACTTTCAGGAAAATTCAAGGCATTGTTTCTCAATAATCCAATACACCCAAAAGAGCAGCAGTTAAGGGTAAAAGCAGGATTGCAATTGGGCTAGGGAGGCTATTATACTATGGATCAAGATCCCGTACTCTCCTCTCCCCACCTCTCTTCTTCTCTATTCCTCTTTCTTTCCCTTCTTCTACCCTTTTATCCCTCTTCCTTTCCCCCTCAGTTTTCCTCCCTCTCAGGTTTAAAAATATCCCCAAGGTATGGGTTAGAATTAGACCCAGGCTGGAATTAGAAATTTCATACCTCCTATCCGCTTCCACTGCAACCTCTTAAAAGCAAATCAAAGATGTATTGGTGGATTAGCCTTGTCATATTGTTAGTTGAGACTTCATTTGAGATTCCGTTTGTCCTTTCATGTTCATATAAATCAATATCTAACAGTTAACAAAGCAACAACAGCAAGGGCATGCTGCCCAGGCAATGTGATTCAAGGGAAAGAGATTGAAATAGTCAAGACTTTCCAACTTCAGGGGTGGGGAGTTGTTCAAAGGGAGCCCGGGAACAACGCCCTTTTCAGAAGAGTATTTGAGAGGCTGAGGAATGGAGGCTGAAAGTTTCATTTGTTTATCACTTTTGACTGGAGAAGAAGTCTGCATGTATGTAAACAGCAAAAAGCTCCAAGTCGTACAGTTGGCCCTCCACAGCATACTATTTTAAATGACCAGTACCTTCATTTTCCAAGAGTAACACCTGGCTTACAATTACTAGCCACATTGCAGGTCTGAAAAACAGACTGCTTTTCTAAATTCAACTTTAAAAACTCCTTTTTGATTTTTACAGCCAGAGGCAACAGAGCTAGTAAGTTTCAAACACTACCGTCTCCAGAGAGCTGGAAGCTTTTTCTTTCTTAGTTGGAAGAGCACATATGAAATAAAAATAAGTACATATAAAAATAAAAATAAGCACATATGTAATAAAAATAAAATCTTGCTGCAAAAAAGTTACATTTCTGGCCCAGAATGTCTTTTTAAATCTTAATGATAATAATAATGAAAATCTAAATGTCACATTGACTGACAAAAAAGAAAAGGTCTTCTGACTCTAAATCCAGTGCTCCCTTCACTGCTGGCTCATTTGACTGGATAGATTAGATACTATAAAGCTAATTTCTACTCTAAAAATTTTCAAGTAATTTTTTTCAATATATATACTTTTTTACTTTAGAAATGGAATCTCATTCTGTCACCCAAGCTGGAGTGCAGTGGTAAGATCATAGCTCACTGTAACCTTGAACTACCGAGCTCAAGTGATCCTCCCCCTCAGCCTCCCAAGTAGCTAGGAGTACAGACATGCACCACCACACCCAGCTGATTTTTTAATTTTTTTGTAGAGAGGGGGTCTTGCTATGTTTCCCAGCCTTGTCTCAAATTTCTGGCCTCAAGCAACCCTCCCAACTTGGATCCCAAAGAACTGGGATTACAGGCATGAGCCTGTAATCTCAATGTAATTTCTGGCTTCAATATTAAGATACTATAAATTGTTATTTAAAATAAAGTATTTGGGTGTGAAAAAAAAGCATGTTACAAACAGTAGGTAGTATAATCATGTATTCAGAACACTTTTTAAAAAGTCTAACATAATTGACAATTGAGGTAATTATATTCATATTTAAGTTGAATCAATTAATTTACCAAAAACAAGACCTAAATGGAAGGACAGCTAGTATTCCATGATTCTCCGAGGAATACACATGAAGGAAAACTACTGCTTTTTCACCAAATATCAGTTAGACTAGCCATTAGAAGAGGCTTCTGAGGAGGAGTCATCAAATAATATCCCAAAATTAAATGACTGAGAATATAGTCTGACAAATTAATATTGAAAATACTATAATCTATGTCTCTAAGGTAGCCTGTGAATGAACTGAGAAATTCTACAATGCTTGGAATAAATTCATTTAAAAAAAAAACTCCCAATGTTCAAGTAAACACACACCTAAATCATGCTAGTAAGAGCTGTTGTTTGTTAATTTGAGGCACAAACAATATTCGAAACTTTAACCACTGAAGTGACTACTTGGTGATACAATGTAATAGTGGAAGCCAGTTGACTGTCAGCCATGGTTTTAGGTAACAGGCTTGAACTGACTTAAGCAATAACCATATTCTACCTTTCCCCTAATAAACCTTTAAAGTAAGTGCTTAAAAGAGTAAAAGTATATAATCTACCACTGCTCATATTGAGAGATATTTCAGTGTTGATCTATAAACCCATAGAGCATTTCTGGTCCGAGGGCCAATTCTATTTGGTCTACACGGCACTTGTTTAATACCAATTAATTGACAATTTTTGTAAACAGTAAACTTCATATAAAATATTTTCATTCCTCTTGAAATATCAGGAGACCCACAAATAATGGATCACAACTCCTCCTGACAACAAAATAGCAGCATTTTTTCTCATTTTTGTTTTTGTTTTTTCAGAAAGAGCATGCTCCTTGTGCTGATGCAGCTGCCCCCCCCAGGCTTCATTCTACACATCTAGGTAATTTGCCATGCACTGGTCAACACTAAGTTTGGAACCCCGGTAATGTTCAACTAATCAAACAAGAGAAAATGGCATCAAGCTTTCTATTAATTTAGGCCACCTTTTGTTAAAGTTCCTCTACCCGATATTTTCTTTAACCAACTAATTGAACTGTCAGCAAAAGTAGAAAGCAGCATCACAGGTAAACAAGTGACTTGGAAAGGAATATAAATACTATGTACAGGCTGCCTGCAAAAAGCAGGGTAGAGAACATTTTATTATACTAGCAGAATAGCGTTTGCTGTGTCATTTCTTTACAATTTATCACAATGCCCCTACACACAGAGTCATTACTCTAAACAAAGTGCCTCTGAGTTATAGTAGAAATTGGATTTGAGATGAACAATTTCATATCTCCTAACATTTCAATTAAAAATTTGTACTTTAAAATTTTGCTAATAAAGACTTTAGCTCGGCTGTAGTTGACTGAAGAATTAGAAACTCAAAGCTATTAGTTTGCTGTAAATCTTTTTTTTGCCTCAGAAACATCCTTTTGGGGGACATTAGAAAGACGGCTGATTAGAGACCCCTGGTGCTCATCCTTCCCACAAGAAAGAAGCAAGGCAACAAATAAAGAGCTAAGATTTGAATGGTGTGTCAAAGAGAGAACACTGGAGTGCAGAGAGGGAGTGGAGAGGCACCTGTGGTGATTGAAAGTCCAGGAGGACAGTATGGAGACACCCAGCCTCTGCAGTCCCATCTTCCCCACCTGGATCATATCTGCCCAGAATGGTGAGGGACTTCCTGTGGCAGTGGAAAGGTAAGGAGAAGAGTCCCACCAGCCTCCATTGCCACCAAAAACACCTTCAGTCCTTATAAGACAATTTCACAGTCCTTGCAAGCCCTGAGCACAGTTTGGAGAGATGCCCAGAATTCTCACAGCGGCATTGCGCTGGGTTAAGAGTACGAAGTGTGCACTCCCTGTTCCCCACCCATGCCCTGTGAGCCAAGCTGCTGTTACATGGCACTGTCTCAAGACTAGAGAAGACTGCAGTATGCCTTGCTCTGGGGTCAGCAGCCACTTCACTGGGACTCCATCTTCATTCCACTAAGCTCACATTGGTGACTGAATACCACAACCTCAGCAGTGCAAATGCTGGGCCCAGGATTGGCTGTGACTTTGGTCTCACACAGCAGGGAAAGCAATTCACACTGTCCTCACTTCAAACCAGAGGAACAGCCTGGCAGTCCTGCCCAGGGTAAATTCACCCTTGAGCCAGCCAAACTGCTGCACGTCCTTCCCCAAGCAGGAGAAGCCCTCATATCTCCAAGCAGCCAACATGCTTCTGGGTTGAAGGAGTAGCTATGTGCCCACACCCAGGTTCTGAGAAATAGCCCCACGGTGCCCCACCCACTACAGACAAGCCCTTGGCCTGCCCAATAGCTTTGTATTCACAATCAGAGTCTGAGAAACAGATCTGTGTGCTGCCCCTGACAGACATGCTCCTAGGCTGTCTGAACAGCTCTGCACCAGCATGCAAGGACTGAGAAACAGTCGGCAGTCTAGCCCTGATGGGAAAGCCCCCAAGTCAGCCAACCATCCCTGAGCCCTCCAGGCAGCACCGGATGGGCACACCCCCAAAGGAAGCTAAAGACATCTACAATGAAAACTACGAAACACTTATGAAAGAAATTGAAGAGGATACAAACAAGTCAGAAAATATCTCATGCTCATGGATTAGAAGAATCCATATTGTTAAAGTGACCATAATACCCAAAGCAATGTTCAATGCAATCCCTGTCAAAATACCAAGGACATTTTTCACAAAAATAAGAGAAAAAAAGTCCTAAAATTTGTATGGAATCACGAAAGGCCTTGAATAGCCAAAGTAATCCTAAACAAAGGGAGCAAAGCTGAAGACATCACACTACCAGACTTCAAAATATACTACAATGCTGTAATAACCAAATAGCATGACACTTGCATGAAAACAGACACACAGACCGATGGAACAGAATAGAGAACCTAGAAATTAATTCATATATCTATGGCCAACTGATTTTTGACAAAGGCACCAAGAACATCCATTGAGGAAGGGACAATCTTTTCAATAAATGGGGCTGTAAAAACTGAATATCCACATGCAGAAAAATGGAACTAGACTCTCAACTCTCACTCTATATAAAAATCTAATTATAATGGGCTAAAGATCTAAAAATAAGATATGGAACTAGAATAAAACATAAGGGAAATAGGTCAGGACACTGATCTTGGAAAACATTTTATAAATAAGACTTCAAAAGCAGTCAATAAAAGCAAAAATAAATGAATAGCATTATATCAAACTAAAACACTATGCACAGCAAAGAAAACAAAATAGTGAAAGACGACCTATAGAACAGTAGAAAATATTTGCAAACCATTCATCTGACAGGAGATTTATATGCAGAATATACAAGGAATTCAAACATCTTATCAACATAAAAACAATCTGATTTTAAAATGGGTAAATGATTTGAACAGACCTTTTTCAAAATAAGGCATGCAAATGGACAACAAATATTTTAATAAATGCTAAACATTACTAATCATCAAAGAAATGCAAATAAAAACCATAATGAAGTATCATCTTGCCCCTGTTAGAATAGCTATCATCAAAAAGACAAAAAATAGCAAATGTTGGTAAGGATGCTGAGAAAGGGAACTCTTCTACACTGTTGGTGGGAATGTAAACTAGTACAGCCACTGTGGAGAACAATTAGGAGACTCCTTAAAATACTACAAATAGAGCTACATATGATCCGCTAATCCCACTACCAGGAATTTATCCCAAGGAAAAGAGATCAGTACATTGAAAATACGTCTATGACCTTAAGTGTATTGGCGCATTAGTTACAATAGCCAAGAGAGGAATGGATAAATAAATGCAGTATAGATACACAATGGAATACTTACTATTCAGCCA